ATGGCCTCCAACCTACTAGCGACGGCCTCCAGCCTAGTAGCGATGGCGACGGCCTCCAACCTAGAAGCGATGGCCTCCAACCTACTAGGGAGGCCAAGAATCGATGGCTTAACCTTCTAGCGATGACCTCCAACCTAGAGACCGCCAGGCACCGAGAACTTGCAAGAAGACTGGTGGCACGTTGCCGGGGCCTTACAAAAAGGTCTACCGACAACAGAAAGGAACAAACTTTGTATACTGTTGATCAATTACTCCCCACCCCTCTGTAGGGTCGAATCCGGGGTCCTTCCAATCTACTTGTAGATGTCGATGATGTCGCCTTGTTTGAAAAATACACGGCCAAGTTCCTGCGAACAAATGTTTGTTTGTGGTGCCATTTGTTGGCTTCTTTGAGGGTTCTTAACCTTGCAGTCCATTCCTGCTTTTGCGAAAATCTTTTGTGGCCCCCACCTGCTGGGTGCATGTTGAGGTTTTTTTGTAGAGTCACAGCAGTGTGCCCGTTGCGTACGGCTTTGGTCATTCTTGCTTTGACTTCTCGCCCGCCTCCCAAACGTAGAAGGTTCAGTCTCCCACAATCTTTTGAGGGTCTATTCGAGCCAAGGGGTAGATATTCTGACACCCAACTCTGATACCGAAACCTGGCTCGATTTGGCTGAGTTTCCTCACTTTAACAGCCATTTGGCTGGACTGGACAAATGAGCATCGGAATGGACACGCTTGTGAGAGTTGTGGCTCTGAAGCCTTTTTGTGGACATGGGGTATTCACTATGCCAGCCTCTGAAGCGGCTGCAGAAGGGGAATCCTGACAGAGGCTCCCTGAGAAGAGAACGAGGGCTAAGGAACCTACTTGGAGATGATGATGATGATGATGATGATGATGATGATGATGATGTTAAGGAGAATGGACAGGCACATGAAGTTGACAGGACAATAATAAGGCAGATGAAGCTGGCAGCAAAGAACCCTTCTTGGGAACTTTGCGAATAACGGCCAGCCCAAGCCAGGAGACATCGGCTTCGAACAAAAAGATGTTCGTGGTTAATCGGCGACATATAGTTGTGTAATGTTGTGTAGAGCTTGGGAAGGCTGGGGTGCACAAACATCATCATAACTCCCATGTCATGTTTTGGCTCAAGAGCCAAAGGTGGACAGGGGATATTATCCCTCGTGAGCACCCTCGGTTTGTGGCAGCCTGAGATGCAGCACGTGGAAATTCCGAAGCAGGGCACTGGTGGCTTCCTTCTGGTGTTCTTCCATGGCCCTGCTCACGAACGTGTGGGGTTTGTGTCGGAGATTCCGGATACCATGTACCAGATTTGGTCTCCGGGGGACGCGAAGATAGCACAGCTTGAGTTGCTTCAGGTCCTGATTGCCCTCGTGACGGTTCCTGAGCGGTTTCGGGGGCGTAGAGGTGTTTGGTACATAGACAATACAGCTGCCCTCATGTCTCTTACCAAAGGGCGTTCGGCTAGTAAAGATCTTGAACGGATGAGCAGTTTAATCCATCTGTTACTCTTGTCGTTGAAATGCTGGATTTACTGGGAGTGGGCGCCGTCCAAATCTAATTGGGCTGATGCGATCAGCCGGGAAGGATCCCTGGATGAATGGCATCGCTCCCATGGTTTTTCATGCGCTCTCGCACACTTCCCGGTTTTGTTATGGTTCCTCCCGTTGCGAGCGGTTGTTCGCTTGGGAGAACTCCTGTGAATGCGTTGGGGTGAAATGCCTTGGAAGGTTTCGAATCTGGTTGCGATTTCATCCTGGTGTCTAGGGATGGTGCAACCAGGGAGGAGGTCCTGAGGATTCAGGACGTACCAACGCAATATCGCCAGGGCGGGGTTGCACCATAACACGGAGGTGAATGTGTGAGAGCAAAGAAGAAAAAGTGAGCGTTGGAGTAGCACTCATTGGGAGCCTTATGATGTAGGTATATATATATACACACACTTGTTGTTTCGCAGCAAATCTAACGTAGAGTTGTCTGTCCTCTTGCTTTCATGCAAATTATGTTGCCAATGCTGCATTTTGGTCAAAACTAGTTCGTTGCAAAAACGTTCAAGGACAGTCATCATCGCATGAATTGGGGCCTGCTAGAAGGCATGCGAACACTTTCCCGAACAGTGTTTGGAGACAAGCAGGTTCCATGCACTTGCTGTGTTTGTACTACGAGTCTGTCCCGTGGAAGGCGCAGACCCACAAACAATGGAGATGCGTGCCTTTGTCACTGCGTCAAACAAGCTGCGCACATCTTGCGATTGGGCCTTACCTTTTGTTCCGTGCAGTCAGAGAACAAAAGAACACAATTCTTGCATTTTCTGAGGCAGCCTTAACCAGAGACGAGATTAAGTTCGTGCATGAGGCCGGCTCGCGACATCCACAAAATTCACTTTCCCAGTCCACGTACTACTGCCTAAATACAACTTGTTCACTCCCTCATCTCCGGTCTTCATGGTGATTTGCCACCTGGGCCTAGCGGGAGGACGGCAACAACACCATTTTGGCGTTCATGCGATGGACTCAGGACAGCCGGTTCTTTGACTTGTGTTGAAACACATCTTCAATATTTCAATGGTGTTGGTGGTGCTAGACTGCCAGACTTGGAAATAGGGTCATGTGAGTGTTGGTTGAAAAGGCGGCTGTGAATTTGTGAATGCGCGACAGCAAAGCTTACAATTGAGCGCGTTTTCCCCTATGAGAGGACGTGGCTGCACTTTGCATTGCCCATTTTGCGGAGTCACAATGGGAAAGTGTGGCTGAGCTGAAGAGGGGCTGGACAAAGCAGACCCTTGAATACAGTGTGCAAGACCTCTCGAGCTGGCGGGGTTTATGCTATTGCAAAGCGGAAGTCGATTGGCTGTAATTACTGTCAAGTGCCACTCAGAGGTGACGCACGGCCAGCGCATCTCTTACTTACGAAAGGGTGCAATTCAAGAGTCATATTCGTCCCCGCCACTTGCGTATTTGAGCTGGCGTGTGTGTCGATACGGGTCCAAGTGAGGGCATCTCGCCAAAAGGAGTAGCCGCAGTAGTCCATAGCCCGCAGTTTGTTTTGCCTTCTTGCTGCATACCGACCTATGTCCATGTGGTCTCTTTGTCGTTCTCTCTCAATTTTTCTTCTTGACTTTTCGGCTTTTTGGCATTCCCTCCCTTTTGGCCAATCTGTCCACTTCCTAGACTTACTTGGGTACCACCTGAAACATGTTTATTCCCAGGCTGCTTACCATTTGGAGAACCTTTTGCAAGCGTCATTCAAGCAGCGCAATGTTTTTGGTTTTAATGTACTGATACTGCTTGGTTATATACATGACCTCCTGGGGGTGGGTTCAGTCTTTGCAGCTGATCTCGACAGGGTGTTAGAATGCTGCACTGAATTGGCATCATGCTCAAGCTGGGGGTCAGCAAGAGAGAGAGAGAGAGGGAGAGAGCGGGAAAGAAGAAAGTAGATACTGTGGTATCTTCAAAAAAGTGTATCTTCTTTTGCATGTCACATTTGGGCATTACATGGGCTCGACAAATCCATGTACATAGACGATACGATGCCCAAAAGTATTGCAAGTACTGGCAAGCACCGAACACGGTGCGACCTGCTCTACATAGCGGCGGAATTTGGCAATATGATTGGGAGGGCATATTTTCGTGGGATATATTTTTTTTTTGGGGTGGGATACTTTTTTTTTTTTTAAGGGCTCTGGAAGGAAGGAAGGAAGGGAAGGAAGGAAGGAAGGAGGGAAGGAAGGAGGGAAGGAGGGAAGGAAGGAGGGAAGGAGGGAAGGAGGGAAGGAGGGAGGCAAGAAAGACAAAATAACAAAGAAAGGACAAAAATGAAGATAAGCAATAGAGCTAAGCAGAAAAGAGAAAGAACTTAGTGGGCTGGTTAACTTGTCAATCATAATACATACCTGGAAGCATTAGCTGTGTGTGCTCATGGGGGGGAGGCGCTGCTCCCTCCCCCCCAACCCCCCTCCCGCTTATTTTTTAAAATTTAGGCTGTTGCTACAGCATGCCAAAGACAAACCAAGAAAACAACCAAGCATTAGCAACCAAAGCATTTGTCCCTCCAACCCGTAGCAGAAGTTAATGGAAGACCACCATGGAAAACAAAATGTCACCAGGGAAGGGAAAGGTAAAAGGAAATGGAAAGGAAAATGTAAAGGAAAGGGAAGGGGAAAGGGAAAGGGAAAAGGGAAAGGAAAGGGAAAAGGGAATGGAAAAGGAAAGGGAAAGGGAAAGGGAATGGAAAAGGAATCAGAAGACGCAAAAAAAAAAAGTCCCATTAAAAAACAAAAAAATATCCCGCTAAAAACCTGCAGCCATATGATTGCCCAAGTGCTGTAAACACCAACGAATCGTAAACACATTTAGAAACATATACAGTCGTATACATCTTGAAGAGATCAATTATATAATATAGCTTATTTTCGTAGTTCAGTCCACGCCTGTTTTGCAGAACTGACTCCAGTTGCCTTTTGCTGTGTCGACGTTTCCTTGATTTCATCCTAGGACAGCTATGGCGCCTGGTGTCTCAGAGGGTTACCCTCAGTTTGCTCACGATCAGCCATCATTCCCACAGACTGGTGACCACTTGAACTAAATTCAGGTGAGTACTGGTTGGGGAGGAGGCCGCGTTTGGAAGTTAGCACTGAGCTCCCAGTCGCAGGAGTTGGCATCCTAGAGGATCAAAACAAATGCTCAGGGAGGTTCTGTTCAGTTTGCTCTTCACATCGAACCTTCACTGTTCTCGTGGTGCATTGAGTTGAGCTTGTAAGTTAATACCTCAAGTACACATGTGTTTTCCATTTTTGTTGGCTGTAAGTTACACTGTGCCGAGCCCATTTTGAAAAGGCTAACACCAATTTATAAGGTTCGGCGGCTGGACTGGAAGCAGCACTCCTGAGGCGAAGGTGGGCAAACTGAGACCTGGTTGCCTGCCTGCCTGCATACGCCCGTGCGCGCGCGCGTTTGTGTCCATAAGTGTGTGCCAAACCGGGCCAGAACCTTGTTTCCCAGGGCTCTTTATACACACTAGTTCGAAAACAATGTCCATACTGTTTCATGCCTAATGATTCAACAACTTTGCAGGGGTGCAAGCAGCCCATCCAGGCTTGCACCAACGAAGACACTGAATGTGTGCTGTTGATATCGATCTGGAACGCTGGATCGAGGCACCTGCATAGAAATTACAAATTGCATGCTGTTTAGTTTCACGGTTCACACCACACTGTTCACTGATTGGTCGCCTTGTCGCTCATGTGGGTCGTTGTGCGCACGTGTGGGGGGTCGGTGTGTGTGTCCACCTTGGAATCTCAAAGGTCTTCTTTGGAGGGCCAACCAGGTTGTTCCATGCCTGGACTGCTTCGGCAATGTAGGTTTGCAGATTCTTAAGGTGTTTTACCAAGGTTTCTTCGAGGCCTGGGTGTTGGCCATGCGCACTTTCAATCTTCAGTGTGTGTGTGTGTGTGTGTATGTCTACGCCGCTGTGTTTTGGATTGGTGCGCTCTTTGTGCAATGCATGGTGTGGTGTTTTCTTCTTTGCAGGCTGATGACTCGGGGAAAATCATGATCAACATTCCAAAGTGGCACTCATCCTCAGAGCTCAGTAACAAGAAGCTATTAGAAACAAGTGCATCGCTACTAGTAACAAGTGCCTTACTAGTAGTAACAATGTTTGCCATTAGAAACAGAGTCCAGTTTCGAAAGGGTGCAACGGCATCGTCCCAGATGAGGAATGTTGTTTCCACAGCAAGTAAGAGCTTCTTGTTACTACTGGTAAGGCACTTGTTACTACTAGCGATGCACTTGTTTCTACTAGCTTCTTGTTACTACTATATGCAAGGAAGTGCTTTCCACCGTGCGGAGAGAAGTTTTCTTGAAGAACCTTGCTTTCCAGTCAGTGCTTGCATGGGCTTGAGCGCGGCTACCCCTGCCCCACGCGTGACCAATAGAGCCTGGAAAGAAAATTTGTTTGCTTTGAAGTGCTTCGAAGATCTTGCAGTGGGAAAGGCATGCTAAAAATACCGCTGCCAACTGCCTCCAAGGTCAATATTGGTTTACCTTTCATCCAACTGAGAGGGCGTGGTGTGCTGAGCAGCTGCAAACATTACCCCCTACCCAGCACAAGAGGTTTGTCGTCAGGGCACATTGTCCACGTTCCAATGTGCAAAGATCGAACGACTGCAGGCCAGCATCCCCGCAGTTCGCGCCTTTGTTTCCCTGCTAAAATGAAGAGACCAGACAATGGGGAGAGTGCAGGAAAGGGATATGACGGGATGTGTTTCTCCAATTGCAAACAGCTGGTTGATTTGGCTCAAGACATGGTGAGAGCTCAGCCTAAAGAAGCCACAAAATTCAGTGACCCAGTGATGCAACCAGACATAGCTACAGGCTACAGCGTCACGATTCGCGATGCCAGTCCTGCTCATGTGCGGGTGCTGCGCAGCTGCGGTCGGATATAGTGTTTTGGCGAAGCACACGCTTGTGTCAGAATGACACACGCGGAGCTAAAACCACTCCTTGTCCTTTGTCATTTGCAGTTGAAGGACATTTGCCATGTTGTTTTGAGCTGCGCTGCATTATGGAGAAGTGTGCCCAGTTGTGCAGCTGTCTTTTTTGACAGAGCATTGTATCCAACTGTTGCCAACGCACGCCGTTGTTAGTTTCTTACCGCGTGCCAAGGATATGTTTACACAAAGTTGATGGGGAGGCACACGCCTCCACCGGCGGCCCAGCTGCACAAAGGAAGGAAACGTCCCAAGAGCATCTCCACCTTTGCAATTCCAGTGCAAGTGACCCGCTTGTTGCGCTGCTTGTTGCAACTGTTAGGTGAAGCAAAAACATCATGTTTTTTGCGTTCGGCCGAGTTCCTTCCCTGAGCTTGGGCCGTGAGGGGCCAGTTTTTTTTAAGCGGGTCAGGGTAAGCAAAGTAAAGCTGATACCTTAAGCTACCAACTGGACGCAGAAGGCCTCAGGTCGACACACTACGATTTTGATGGACGTTTTCCCTTAGGCTTTGTTGTATTTCTTTGTTTCTTCGGTGTTTTCTCAACCTTGTTCCTTCTTTCTGTTTGTCCTCTGTTTGA